ATATGATTTGACAATATAAATTTTTTTACAATAACCCAAGTTGACGAGCAAATTCTAATTAATATTGTTAGCATTATTTATGTCCTTCACGGATTTTCATACTTTGAAAATTATCAATAATAGTATCATTACTTATATTTTTAGATATCTTATAAGTATTATATATAACAAGCTAAATATCATTAAAAAATTCTTCATTTGTCCTATTACGTAGATCTTTTAATTATGTACTTCTATTTCCCCGTAGATATGTGATTTATATTATTAGTTTTTGATTATTGTGGGCGTTTAACATTAATTTTATTATCTTTTTTTGGTACTTCATTTCTTGACAAAATGTAATGTTTTTTGAGAGATTAACCTTTCAATTTTAAAGAGTTCTCTTTTTTAATGAACGCATACAACCTACTATATAATTAGTGATAATTTTCAAGAGATAAAGATGGGATCACAATATCACATTTCATAAAATATTTTAGTGAAAACTTTCTTATTAAAGAATTAAGGCCGAGTAACCAAGAAACAAAAGGAAACAATAAAGAAATTAACAGAAGTATTTTAAATTAAAAAGTCTAGGCGAAGAAAGCAAGGATTGAACCTCTAACTCATTGACCACTAAGCCAAAGTGCTCACTTGAGCATGAGTTCACACATACTTATTTAAGAATAAAATCAACAAAATACAAGTGATATACATAGTCTACGAAAGAGAACACGAATTTACGTGAATTCACCCCTTCCATATGGATCCGCCCTTGTTCATGGCTGTCAAAGAAAGAAAGAAATTAGAGTGGTGTATTATATATATATATATNGGCTAACTATTTAGGTTAGATTTTATTTACTATAATAATAAAATAACAAAAAAATATTTTGTCACAATAAAGTAGCTTAACTTTGTCAATTACTTGTAATACTATAAAGTCGCTAAACTTTATACACCATATATAACAATAAAATCATAAAACTTTTTCTGTCATAATAAAGTAATTAAGTAATTGACTATAACATAAGGTCACTAAATATCACGACAAAGCATACTCATCAAGGCTAGTTAAGGAAAAAATTTGTGCAATAATAAAGTTCAATAACGATACGTGAAATTAACCCGAATTTGGTGGTGCAGGAGGAAATCAAGCAGAGGATGTAAGGCTGCATGCATTAGACATCGATACAGCCTGGAAAGTAATTAAGGATCATTCCAAGGGCCCTATTACCATTGGAAAAGCACATGTATGTCCAATATCTTTCCATATTCGCATCCACATCCACATGAATGCAGTGCACTTTTCTCCTCCTTTGACCTTTGACCCATAATTTTGAGGCCTCAAGAATCTTATACTTTCAAACTTTTAGATCCCATCTTTTGGTGTTGGAGCTTTGGCTCATATGGGAAAAAGAAGAAAAAAGACGGAGCAATGAGATCAGATACAAACATGTCTAAGAAAGTTTCATTCTCAATCTGTGGCTTTTATTTTATATGCATATATACCTTTTTATTGCATTGGACTTTTGACTCTGCCTAATTCAAGACTAAAGGTTCCCTCGTATATTCACCTTAGCTTAGTTGCTCTCTTTAGCCAATACGATCGAGGAAGTAAACAGAATCCATGAAAGTGAAAAAAGAGGAATCTTATGAAGTTAGAAAAAAATTATGAAGACATCATAGCTTATAGTAACTCAGTTTGAACATGTGGATATTGATATTGTATGTATTTTTCAATCTTGGAATTTAGCTGCTCATATATTACGTGACTTTTCAATTTCTTTTTTTGCATGAGATCTACAAGGAAGGAGATTTCTCTAGTTGGTTTAGTTGTAAATGTTGAAAAGAATTTAGGTATATATATATATATGCTTGTCAATATTTGACGTTTTGACTTTGAGTCAAGGTATTTTTTGGAGCTCATTAGTCACAAAAGATGAATTTGGTAATGTTTTCAGTATTTGACGTTTGACCTCTCTGCTTTTCCATGAAAGTAAGGCAATTTTTAACTTCTACTTAGGGAAATGAAAGAGACACCTCTTGGGTGTGAATGGAAAATGGAAGAGACACTTTTTGAATTGCACATCTTTATCTCACCCTTTCATTGGGGTGTGAATGGGAAGTGGAAGAGACACCTCTTGGATTGCACCTATTCATCCCACCATTTCATTGTCTATAAATAGAGAGGCTTAGCCTCATTGTCCACCACTAAAAAATCTGAAATCTTTCCCCTCAATTTTCTGCATACTGCATTGGTTATTCTAAAGCAAAATGTAAGTATTTTGTGTGATTTGCTCTGCCATTTGAGTTCGCTAAAATTCTGTGATTTGAAGTGCCGCTATCACAGAATAGTTATTCCGTTCTATCCTGGGAGGAATTAATCCGCAACCTTGGGCATTATGAGGGGATTAAATTCCTTAAGGAAACATAAAAAACTTGTGGGCTCGAAATTTTCTCTACTTTGTTTTTTCTTTAAACTAACGTTTATTGATTTATTGATTTTGAATAAACACTGATAACACTACTTAGCAACGTTCATCTAATGTGCTGTTCGGTCCTCCTAGAACAAAGAGAACAAATCGGCGAATTCTATTTAACCATAGTCGCTTATACGATAGGCGACCTACTTCAGAAATACTTGCCATTTTTTAGACAATGGAAAAGGGTAAAAAATGCTCTTAACCTATTGAAAAAAAAATTAAAATTATTCCCCTTCCACCTATTGAATCTTAATTGCCCTTAACATTAAATTTAAGCTTAAAATTGTCCCTTCTTTTAACGGAAGCTGACCCAAACCTTTTTTTAATAATTGTCCCACTAACCAAAACCTTTTTTTAGAAGAACCCAAACAAACTTGCTTATAGAAATTAACAAAGTAATAAAAATTATTTCTCTGTTCCTATTTATTTAATAATATTTTTTTTACTCCTCAAAAGGATTTGCACATTTTTTTATATATAAACTCTTATTATTTGCCTTTTATTTTGTTCTTAACGAGATTCTTTCCATTGCACGGAAAGAGTAATTTAAGTATTTTACACATGTTAAAGTTGTGTATCGAAAATCATATTATAAAATTCCGATCATGCCAGACAAATAGGGACAAAATAATAATAAACATATTATCATTTATTTTATTAGTACTTAATTTATCTCATTTTACGTGATTTTATTTGACTGCATACATAATTTAAGAAAAAAAAATAAAAAGTTTGAAAGAGGAATGAAATGGTCCCAAGTCTTGGGATAAATTGAAATATTCTGTAAATGGGACTTTAAGTCGCTTCGGGGCCTCAGGGGTATCACTACATACGAATATGTTGGTGGGTTTGTAAAAGATGGGTGGAAGGGAGTTTTGGTCAAAGATATATTGTTGAAGGAAAGTGGCCAGGCCAAGACATGACTCTTTAAATATTCTTTACACGGTTGACATCACGCAAGTAAATTGAGTTGTTATAATTTTTATACCAAGTAACATGTCTCATTTCGAATATTATAAACCTCACATTCTAAAAAAGTTTACTTATGAATATTCTTTAAATGACCTGATATTGCAAATTATTGACCGGCCAGTAGCTTACTGGGGTGGTTAGGGAAGCGCATACTATCGAAAGTGGTTAACGAGCATTTAGATCGAGGATGGATCTATGTATATGATTCGGGTGGTACGTCATCCGCAAGTTTCAGCGAAAACTCTATGTATATATGTAAATATATATAAGAAATAGTATATATTTTAAAGTGCCACCCACATAATAAAAGTCGTCAAGGTGTCAGTGGCAAAGGTACATCTTTTTCTTCTGCTTGGCACGTGGAACCCCAAATCCTGGATTCAGATAGATACATAATGATCTCCTTAGTTTTTTTTTAATACTTTTCCTCTTCCTTCTCATTTAGGTTCATTTAAAATTGTAAATTGCATTGGTCAGTCAACACAAGAATTTTATCTTTGCTTTTGCCGAAAGTCCACTGCAGTCTAACGTGCATGCATGGAATGGTAGCCTTCCGATCGACTTTTGTCTAATCTTTCTTCGTAGCCCACTTCTTATCCCATAGCTTCAGGTTTTGCATGCTTTTTGGAAATCATTGCTAGAAATAAGGATTAAATTGCACCTGATTTACTTATGTTTGGCTTCAATTACCAATGAAAATGGAGATCATCGTACAACATATAAGTATTATGTATCTTTGTCAAGGACATCTAGAGGATCTAATCCGAGAATTACAAGGATCAGTAAATTAAAGCACTATTTCCTCCGTTACAATTTATGTGCTTTAATTAGTTTGACCGAATATGAAATTTTAAAAAGTAAAAAACCTTGTGATCTTAAACAAATATCGTATGTAGTACTAAAATCTCTATAGATTAAAACGTAAGGGGTATTATTTTATCACTATGAGAAAAGTGTCATGTGCACGTATGCAGATGAGATAGTGATTTGCCGGCAGTCACCTTTACCTACGGACCTGCTGCTGCAACTTGACAATCTTCTGATGTAATCCTTGTCGACCCGATTTTTTTAATGTAAGACAGAACATGTAGAATCATTTTTAATTATGGTGGTAGTATTTGAACTTTATCTCTGGTCTGCACTACTATCATGTTAATTAAATTATAGTAACAGTTTTAAGATGTTAGAAAAACACATTTTTAATTAGACATTTGGTTATAGTATATCTGAACCCACGTAATGTATCTCTCTGCGCGCTTTGATGCTGGGACATTGTACTTTCAATTAAAACAAGAAATATTCTAGTAGCCCAAAGTGTGGGCCCGAGGCATTTGTTGTTTCACTTTCTGTTTGTGACATATACAACTAGCCTGTTTGGATCACACAAACAGGTTCGTAATATACCTTTAAAGTGTAATTTAGGTCGTGCTTTGTCGTAACATAATGATTTTTGAGATCATACTTAACACCAAGACTTTTAAAAGGTTTTCGTCCTTCAAAGACTTGTATAAATAGCTTGACACCCTCACCTTCTTCTTCAAATCTTCTCTCAGCTATCCCTTCTCTACTAAAAACTAGAGTCTACAGAGTACAGACTGAAGCATCAACCACTGTTACTGGAATGGATCCTAGTTATGAGTCTTCCGATACTCTCAGGTTAATCTTTAAATTTTTAGACTGAACTCATATTAATTATATTTTTGAAATTATGGATTCAGAATTTACTACTCCTATTTCTTAAAATTTAAGTATTTATGTTTCACATAAAATAATATTGAATTCAGTTGAACTCGTCGTGGAAAGGTTCCATCCCCTATTATCGTAGTTCAGTCCTTGAAAACAAGCAGAATATTAATTAAGGTTTCTGTATAATTCATTGGAAATATATATGTTGCAGGAACAAGTGTGCAGCGTGTTATCGACAGTTCAACAAAAAAGAGCATTTAGTGGAACACATGAGAATATCCTATCATTCAGTTCATGAGCCCATGTGTGGAGTTTGTAGAAAACACTGTCGCTCTTTTGAATCTTTGAGGGAGCACCTTATTGGTACGTACCCAAATCTTTCTTCAGCAGCAACAACTTTTAGTGGCCTAGCTACTTTTTTATTTGGTTATGAGGTCTGATTTGATTTATGCGTTAATTACTCCAAATTCATATGATCAGGGCCACTTCCAAAGGCAGAATGCGAAAGAATTTTCAAGGAGAGAGGATGTGATATTTGTTTGACAATTCTTGGTAGCCGAAGTGCTCTACGGGCTCACAGAGACTCATGTCTCTCACGTCCAAATAATAATGTATGCTTAATACAAGCCTATGATATAGCTCACAACAATGATGTGTTATATTGTGCGCATATCATCTAAAAAGCTTAAATTGTTACACGGAATACATTTTAAATTATTTCATTATGTCTTTAACACGCTCCCTCATGTGTGGTTTGAATATTTTTCATGGGCAAAACACGTGATAAACAATTCGATAAAGGGAGGCGTGTGAGACTCGAACCGAGAAACTAGCTAGCCTACTTTTGTTCATCTTATCTAAAAGCTTAAGCTGTATATTGGTTCTTTTTGCAGGGTTTGCTGTATCGCATGGCAAATTTGGGAATTCAAGATGACCTAAGAATTGATAACAGCAGAGGAAGAATAGTTTCCCTTGCTTGCAAAATGGTTGGTGGTGGCAGCGATGGATCTCTGGATCTATGTGCAAGAGTTTGTCTCATTGATGAACATGAGAGGATCCTCTTTCATTCATATATCAAACCAAACCTTCCTGTCACTAGTTATAGGTAACGAATTTAAGTTATATACACTAATAGCTAGCGTAAAATTCGTTACATTATTATCAATTACTAATATTTATCGTGTAAATATTTAGTACACTATCAGCATATAGAGCTTAAACAATGACAAGAAATTATGTGTTTATTAGGTATGAAACAACGGGCATAAGACCAGAATATTTGAGGGATGCGATGCCATTAAGGAATGTGTCAAGAAAAATTCAAGAATTCCTTTGCAATGGGGAACCTATTTGGCAAATCCGTTCTAAAGGCGGAAGGTCTAGGATTCTTGTTGGCCATGGTTTGGATCATGATCTTAAATGTTTAGAAATGGAGTATCCAGCAATAAAGATCAGGTAAATTAATTCTTTGATCAGCTTATCTAAGAACCAAAATTAACATTATGCAATTTTCAATGATTAATTTCATGCATGATAACTAAAATTTATTACTACAATAATAAATTCACAAAATTTTTTTCGTCACATTAAACTAACTTAATTTAACCCTCTAAAATAGTAAGCTCATTGAATTATGTTTGCCCAAATAAAGTAACTGAATTTTACCCGCTAAAATAGTAAAGTCACCAAAGTTCAACGTGAAGATTTTCTCACTTTACTATAATGTTCAGATACTTTAATGTGAGAAAAATAAATAGTTTTGTGATTTTTAGTGTTATAGTACTAGATAAAATTCAATTAATTTAATGTGACAAAAAATAATTCTATAACTTTACTATTATATTACATAAAGTTGAAATTAATTTGTAGTCGTAGTTATATATTATTATTATTATTATAGATGAACGTTTTAACAATTGTTCGGTTATTTTTATTCTGAAGGGATACTGCAAAATACCCACCACTGATGAAAACAAGCAAGCTCAGCAACTCTCTCAAATACTTGACCAAAGCTTACCTAGGGTAATTGCATGAAACTTTATCCTTGTCCTCCACTAGTATTGTAGCAAGTTTAGAATCTAAAAATGGACAAATTAAAATTTTGTAGGTATGATATTCAAACTGGAGTACAAGATCCTTATGAAGACTGTGTTGCAACAATGAAGCTCTACAAGCGAATGAAATCACAATTTCACAAAAAAGAAAACTACCCTCTTTCTTCAGATCCCCAAAATAAAAATAATTTTGCAACGTGGAGGCAAAATGAGCTTGAGAGGATGAGTCCAGAGCAGCTGTTGGATTTCTCAAGGTCTGATTATTATTGTTGGTGCTTGGACTCACAAGATATATAATTAATAGAAGACGAATGGTGGAAAAGATAGAGATAAAGCAACAATATTCGATATGTACGTTTTATGAATTCTTAGTAGATATCAAGAATTTAAATCATGATATTCATGAAGAAAATTTAGTATTTGTATCCCTACTTGCTATTGTAAGATTTATAGTTGAAATAAAAATGAGTTTAATTAGTTGCTAAAATAAGCAAGTACTTTTTTGTCATGTGTAACAATAATAACAACGTCTCAATTCCAAACAAGTTGAAGTTGATTATATGAATCTCAGTGACCGTGTCAATTTGTATTGAATATGCGCCTTATATACTTCAAGTGATTTAATTTTCTAGCTAGTTTCAATTAGGGGTAACATACAATAGTACATTTATGGTGACGGGATAAACTAAACTGTATATTATTAACTTTAAGTTAATTATGATTTGCTTCCCTTCTAGAAGCGTGATGAACAACATGCTACAACTCAATAACTATAGATGACATTTTCGATATTATATAACGATAGATGATACTTTCCAATTAAAGTTTTAAAAGATTCGAAAAAAGTATAGCCGAAAAAAATTGGATGATTCCTAATATAGTAAAGTATACTCCATATCTTATGAAATGAAACGGAAGAAATATTACATTCTACTGAATAAAGGATGAAATAGCTAAATTGTGAATTTTTCAAGTTAAATACTGTTAATACAGCTAATTGAGCTAGATTGTGGTAAGTATAACAACAATTCACACATGCAACTAGCCATGGCATTTACCCTAAAAGCACATAACAATTGAATTTATATGTGATTTTAAGGATACGTGATTTTACTTGGCATAAACTGAGAAAATATGCAAACTGATATTGAAATTGGCTGTAAAGAAAAATAAAAGCAAACCAAATGAGATATGTAGCTTGGGCCCTCCAACCAAATGAAACAACAAAGGAAATATAAGCGAAGTAACGGAGTATTGAGAACCTTGAGAAAAGAATATTATATTGCTTCTTCTTTTTTACAGTCTCAGCTCCCTTTTACAAATGATCAGACCCCCTTTATATAGTAGGGGAGTCATACTCTTGATACAATTCTAAATATAGTAAGGACTCCCATGATGGGCTAATTAATCGGCCTCTTCTTTATACGTGCCGTGATTTCCGCCGAGATTCTCCGCCTAATTGCGGCTGTAACGGCTTTTTATTTCTTGGCTCGATCTTGATCCTGGCCGATCTTGATATTGGTTGATCTCGATCTTAATCGGTATCTAGGTCTTCGAGCTCGATCTTGACCGACCTCGATCTTGATCGGTCTTTGGGTCTCGAGCTCGACAGCATATTCTTCGTACTATGGCTCGATATTACAATGATGAACCTTGAACCATCATGTTCTAATCTCGATTAATCATAAGAAGGGAAAAACTCGGTTTTGACCGTATACAGATAGTCCCCTTGTTTCTAGGAAAGAAGATAATGAGAAACGATATGAATTTCTGAACTTCGACTTGGTGGATAATGATGTCAGCGACGAGTCTGATTGTGACGTATGCGACAAACGTCTCATCGGTCCGGTTATCAAGGCATTAAATGCGCGTCAGTTGATGGTCGGCCATTACCAGTTTTGAACCGTCATTGTGAAACCAATAAATAGTTCCTTTCTTCATCATTCCAAACTTTTATTTTCGAAACTTTTCCATTCCTATCTTCATAGTTTTTTGCCTTCTCCAAAGCTCCCTATTTCCAGGTTTACAAATTTTGTTGCTTGTTCTTCTTAAAACACCAAATACTTCAATCTCCATTCTCCTTTGTTCATAAAAATTAAATGGCAAAAATATCTAAAACCATTTCGCAGAAAGAGGTTGCTTCCTCATCTCGGCCGGCCTGCGAGAAACAAGTGGTGGAGCCACGCCTTGAGGAACTTATTCCCAGGGGATGTGTTATTGATTCTGATTTTAAGGTCGAGAAAACCTCATCAGTTGCTGGTCGATGCGAGCCGGTATCGAGATATATATGCTCGATACCCAAAAGGCCTCTTGATCTGGTGAAGAACGATTGCAATTGGGAAAACAAAGAGGTTGTGATACCGGCACCGGAGGAAGCGATCACTACCTACGTGGAAGGGTATTTGAGTGTTTACACTTATCCTTTCACGCTGGGTCCCCTCGATCCGATCATCGTCGATTTCTGCAAGAAATACCAGATGACCATTGGCCAAATTCACCCTTTTTTTCTGGAAGATCGTGATATTGCTCCGTTTCTTCGTGAGTAAAATCGATGGGCTCCCTTTCACCCTCGACCACCTCGTAAGATTATACAGCCCTCGAATCTATTGAGGTGGGTTGATAAAGCTTCAACCCCGGGCCACCAAGGTATTCATCTCGAGTATAGATGAAAACAAAGATCGGGGATGGATGGGCTGGTTCATTCGGGTAAAGACCTCGGACCTAATCCCGGCCGAGAGCATGTCATTTCCTGAGAAATGGAATATGAAATGTAAGTATGATCCCATTTTTAATTTCCGTTCGTTGCTTTTACTTCTTCATCCTTTTTCGTCAATGTTTTTCTCGATTCAGCCATTGCTTGGATGCCGGGTGCGGTTCCCCACCTCAAGAATTGGGTGAGAAGCCTGGTTTTGACGTCAACATACGCCGAGCGCGCGTGGCGCGATTTGTCAAAGGGGTGGTGGGAGGCTCGTACTCATGGTAGGCCTTCTTCTTGGATTACCGATTTGCCTATCGTTCGAGCATTTTCTCAAGCATAAATTTACTTATTTTCTCCTTTTGTATGTCTCAGAAAGGATGCGGCTATGAGACCCTCATCCGGTGATGAAGAAGCCTTACCGCATATCTTGAAACCGGCGAAGGTGATTAAAAGAAAAAGGGCCTTGGACTCCGAGGGTCAAAAACCCAAGAAAAGAATGGCCCGTAAACCCAAGGGGAACACAATCCCACTGACTATGGAGTCGGTCTAAAGACTAAGGAATAAAGAAGAAGAAGAAGAAGAAGAAGAAGAAGAAGAAGAAGAAGAAGAAGAAGAAGAAGAAGAAGAAGAAGAAGAAGAAGAAGAAGAAGATTCTAGGTTGGTGGCCCGTGCACGAGCTAGCACCGATATTCAGAAGACTTCGGAACCGGTGGGAGTCGATACTGCTCCGTCTAGGTTCGACGAGGTCGAAGAGGAGACTGTGTCCCAAGTTCCCAAAACTGAGGGGAACCGAAGATACTTTACCTCGGGGTGAAGATACCATTGAAGAGGCGGTGGATGCCAATGCAGAAACCGGGCTTGAAGCTCATCGAGAGGGAGGCGGTGCCCTAAAAAACCTACTTGGGGTAATGGAGATCGGGGATTCCCCCTCGTTTCCTTCATTTTGCCAGTCGATGATACGTGATGCTCAAGCTATGGAGACTTATCACGGGGAGGGAGCCTACGAAGAGGAAGATCCTTTCCGTGGTTATTTTGTCGGGGTAGAAGATGTCACCGGTCTGAGTGACATGGAGGCTCCGAAGAAGAGCTCGGGCGAGGCGGGAGTTTCTTGTCTTTTCAACGAAGCTCAACAGGCCCTGAATCGGGTAAGTTCATTTTCTCTTTGTCAATTTTAATACTTGTATTTTTCTTTCTTTGTATAATTCCTTCTTTTTATTTTTGTAGGCCTCTGTGCATCACCACGAGGTGTTTCTCCAATCCCGAGGGGAGCTGATCCGGTACGAAGCTAAAATCTGAGGGCTTACTGAGGAGAGAGATGCCTTCAAGCTTCTCAGTGAGCAGAGAGAAGGAGAAGCAGAAGGACTTCGGACTAAGCTAGAAATAGCTCGGAAAGAACATGCCGATTTGTCCGAGCAGGTAAAAAGAATTTTTGAAGTTAACAACACTGACTTGGGCGTGATAGCTAATAGTTCGGTCCCACAGGTCCAACAAAAGCTCGATGTGATCAGCAGCTTCGTGTTGAAGTGGAAGCAGTGAAAGCGGAGGCCGAGGAGTGGAAAAAGAACATGGACTGCCTTGCCTCAGAAAAGGAGGCTGCCCGGGCTCAACTGGCCTCGGTTGAGACCCAACTCCGAATCTTGAAAGAGAATGCCTTGGTGCAAGCCAAGAAAATCGAGGAGTTCCAATCTCGTTTGGGTTCAGCAACTTTTGATCGAGAGAGATTGGCCATAGAACTTGCAGAGGCCAAATCGGAGGTCGAAATAGCCACGGCTACTGCTGATGTAATGGTGGTTATCTACCTGTCCGATACTGAAGCTTCTCAAGTTTGAGCAAAGGAGGTTGTCGAGGCTGCTCAGGCTCGAACAAACTGGGTTGCCGAGCATGCTAAATGCCAGTCTAGGAGGGAGACTCTCGAGGAGATCCATGCTTGTGGCTTCGATCTTACAGTTGAGATCGAGAATGCTAAGGAACTTGAAGCTGAAGCTAGAGTGTTGGATTTTTCTGATGATGATGATACCGGGAGTATGAGTGGATCTGAAGGCGAAGGAGGCCTCGAGGGAGAAGATACTTCTCCCGGAGAGGACTAAGTCCTTTAGTATTTTTTGTAGAAAAACTTGATCGGTCCATGCTGCCCTTGTAAATGATTTTTGACACATATATATAAAACTTTCTTCTTTTCCGCCTTATAAAATTATGAAGTTGTATTCCAAGATCTGAGGTTTAAACAATTTAATTGGAACTGAATTAGTATAGCCCTTAGACTTTATGGTCGAGTGAGTACTTGCTCGAATTCGAAGTAAGGTAACCCTTAAATTTTTTATTTGAGTGAGGACGGTCTCTCGAACTCGAGACAAATGACAGCCCTTAGGCTTTTGTAAAAAGATTTTTTAAGGCTTTGTCCTCTTTTTGGCTTGAAAGAGTTTCTTATCATTTGTATTTGCAAAACTTGTAATGCCTTGGCATGAAATAAGGAATTGTTTGAGAGTTCGAACAACTTTGTACTCATTAGAGTTTTTGAGGCTTCGGTATTTATCGAAGCCTTTTATGATTTTGTCGGAGGTAGCCTTTTTATTTGTTTATGAAAGATTTGAAAGGCCTATTTTGTTACGGAATTCGGACGTCTCCGATCCGTATTAATTTGGTTGTAGCCTCTTTATTTCGGGATGCCTCTTAGGGTTATTTTCCCGTTTTACTTCGAGTTTGCCCGAAGTGTCAGTCCCCGAGTGGGGTGGCCGTGGCCTATAGAATCGAGGGTTGCCTAAGAGGTCTTAT